TGTCTCAGGTCCAAGAAAACCAGAGTGAATTAATCTTACCTTGTCTGTCTCAGGTCCAAGAAAACCAGAGTGAAGTAATCTTACCTTGTCTGTCTCAGGTCCAAGAAAACCAGAGTGAAGTAATCTTACCTTGTCTGTCTCAGGTCCAAGAAAACCAGAGTGAAGTAATCTTACCTTGTCTGTCTCAGGTCCAAGAAAACCAGAGTGAATTAATCTTACCTTGTCTGTCTCAGGTCCAAGAAAACCAGAGTGAAGTAATCTTACCTTGTCTGCCTCAGGTCCAAGAAAACCAGAGTGAATTAATCTTACCTTGTCTGTCTCAGGTCCAAGAAAACCAGAGTGAAGTAATCTTACCTTGTCTGTCTCAGGTCCAAGAAAACCAGAGTGAAGTAATCTTACCTTGTCTGCCTCAGGTCCAAGAAACGTCTCCATGGTAAGTTGAAGATATTGTAAAAATATTTTTTCAGTGTCGATAATTTCATTGATTATTTTTTCTCGTTTTTCTCTTCGTTTCTCTCGTTCTATTTCTTGTTGGATTTTTTCCTCTTCAATTCTTCGTTTCTCTTCCTCTTTTTTTCTTTCCATTTCAGCTTTTATTTCAGCTTCTTTCCTCTCCCTTGGACTTAATTCATATAAATTCTCTAAAATAAAAAAACGTTTTCTTCATTTTCAAATAATACCTGATATGTTTGATCTTCTGAAAGAATGTTAAATCTGATAAAAATGATAAATGAAATGTAGTATTACATTCTGCACTTCTGTAGTTGCAAATAAAGACAAACAACTCCATGCAGTGTATATTTAAGAAATTTTACCAGGACAGTGGTATTAGTCTACTTTTGAACTCTGAGGGATCTGTAACAAACTTGATTAATTGATTGAATCTGAACAACTAAACACCTTTTCCTTGTCAGCTCCTCACTTACCTTTAAGTTTTTGAAGTTCGTCTGATAATCCCGAGATATTCGCCTGATAAAATCCTAAATTCTCTTGAATCTCTTCCTCTTTCTCCCCAGTTACTGTCTTTAACATCAATATTACATCTTCTTTACATTTCTTATATTTCTATAATCACACAAAATATATTGTTTTAAACCTGCCACCTTTAACAAAAACAGAGGTGTAGACTTCTTTACAATAGTTATTACCAACTTCATCTTCACAATGTCAAGCTATTACCAACTTCATCTTCACAATGTCAAGCTATTACAAACTTCATCTTCACAATGTCAAGCTATTACAAACTCCATCTTCACAATGTCAATCTATTACAAACTTCATCTTCACAATGTCAATCTATTACAAACTCCATCTTCACAATGTCAATCTATTACAAACTTCATCTTCACAGTGTCAAGCTATTACAAACTTCATCT